TAACATCATCAACAAAAGAAGTAGAAACAACAAAAGAAGTAGAAACAAGCACATCTATATATTTAAGGAGAGGAGCAGGTCAAAGCTGACAATGTTGCATGACTCCAAGAGATACTTAGCTATCTTTTAATATTTATATCTAGAAGACTATATTTTCAGTTGTATTTTCTGTCTTTACAGGAAGAATCTCACCCAAAGATTGAGATAATTTCTGAAACAACAAATGAGAGTGATTCTGCAGCAGATGAAAACAGTAAAAGCACATTTGGGAGTTTAGTAGAAGATGTTCCAACAGCAATTTTTTCAAATAAATGTAAGATACGTGAAGATGGTGAAAAGGAGATCCTAAGACCCATTGCTGAGGACTTCATTATAGAGCCTTCTAATTCAGAAGGAGACTTGGAGACCRAAAATAAACAAGAGAATCTGTTGAAACCTCTCATTCAAGAGATTATCACTGAACCACCTGAGGATACGCTCCTGTTGTCATCGGTCTGCGATCATCCAGATGATAAAAGCCCATGGGAAGGGGACAGCAATATTACAGTTTCTTGCCATGGTAAGATCACAGTGATATAACCATAAAGCAAAAGGAAAGGGGGTAGCACACACAATCTAAAATTAGGGATTTTTTCAGCCCTTGTCAACAGAGTTCTTGATCCGTTATTTTCCTAATAGTTATACCTCTTCARTTTGTTTTTGTGGGAATCCTAATAGATTAAGAATTAAAATAGCATTTTCTGGTTTTGTACACAGAAGTTCTGTTGAGTTTCATTTGAATAACTTTCAAAGGCACAAAAGGACACTACACTTACTTCTTTTTCCAATATTAACGACCACCACTCAGTTTCATTTGCATTTGCCTTCATGCTTTAACAGGGAATAGCAGTGATGGAGAAGTACAGTGCCTGGCTGAGAGTGGAACATGCCCCCGTGAACCACAAGATAGCAAGGACAGTGAGTGTGGATTTGATTAATCAATTTAAAAAACAAACAAGCAAAAAAAGCAGACCAGGTTTAGAGTACAGTGCCTGGCTGCCTGCATACAGTTATTCACAAAATCCAAATTTAGGAAGGGATCCAGTAGTTAAAATTGGCATAACACTTCTTATGATTCTATATAAAAAAAGATTTAACATTTTAAATTTTTTAAAATAAAAAAAATTAATTAAAACTTTACGATTTCTATATAAAAAAAAAAAGGTTTAAAAGATTTAAAACCTTTAACATGAGGACTGTTAGGATTTCAGGTAGTCATAGGCTGGTGCAGCCTCTGGCATATGACCTGCAAGGCAGATTTTCAGGTTTAGTTAGCATGAAAGTTCCTAACCTTACATAACCTACAGGTAACAAGTCCTTTCACCCTTCCTTTTGAAGGTGCTAAAAATCGCTAGATTCCAAGCTCTTCAAGGCAGCTGGGAATGTTGAATACCTTTGAAAACTGGGGTACTATTGTTTTAAGATTAAATTCCCACTCCTTGTTATGTGATTTCTTTTTCCTTGCATCCTTATAAAAATGACTTAAAAGTTCTATCTTCTTTCATTGCTTACATAGTTTCAATCCATAGTGTTGCATATTCGTTATTTAAATAAATTGTTATTTAACCTGACACATTTTTCTCTTGTATCAAGTCCTTACAAGTATATGTCACACAAGAAATAGGAGCTTACCTTTAAAGCAAATACTTGCAAGTGCCATTTTTGCTTTTTTTTCCTTGTATTTTACGTCTTGGGATCTGGATTTCAGGTAGAAAAGGAAGCTGATCCCAATAGTAACAGAAAGACACTTTTGCTAGTAAAAGCAGACCAAAGGAAATCATCTTTCATTAACTTCTCTTTTACTTGGCAGTAGTAGCTTTGTGCCAAAGCTGCTTTTTCCAACACAGAAGTGGCCATGGTAACAAGACAGAAAAATTATTGTACACTGGGTAAGTACACCCTAAAAGAGGTGGCCTCATCTTCAGGGCTAATGTTTTTATGACAAAACCAACAACTGGCAACATCAGTAGAGGCCACATGTCAGATTACTTCATTAAACCATAACCAAGTTAAGGTACATTCTTTTTTTCCTTCTGAATTTTATAAAACACTAGTAACCCGTAATAAATAGAATGAAATAGGCCTTGCAGAGGTGCACATTTGCATAAATACGTATGTTGAAATGCTTTATTTCCGACCAGCTGGGTACAGGTGCCATCTAGTGGTAGCAAAAATGTAGTTTGGTGCCTACCACCTTTAAAAATAAAGAAGAAAAACCAAAATCTGTCGCCAAGTGAATTTGGCCCAGTGAAAATCGATGCCAGGCCAGTTCAGCAGGCTGGGCCCTTCCACCACACGGCGTGGAGAAGGTGCCGCGTGTTGGCCAGGCTCCGTGCAGCATTACCAGCGTGCTGCCTCCCACAGCCAGCAAAGCTAATTCTGCTGCTTTCATTTCAGCTGTGCTCATGGCCAGCCGCTTTGTGGCCCCACAAATCCAACCCAAAAGGGAGGGAAGGAACAAACAAGCAGGGAGGATCCTAATGTCAAATCATGCTTAAAAGAAAATATAGAAAAGAAACACTTTTGCAAACAACAACAACTTACAAAATTAATTCCAGGAGTGAAATTAGAGCTCAGGTATCAGTAAAAACAAGGCCAAAAGATAAAAGATGCCTGCTGCACTTTTTAACAAAGATGATCACAGTCCCACAGCCAGTCAGTGGGCCCTGAGTTATCTCATGGGTAAACCTCTTGAAACTTGTTCTTCTTTATTGGTGAGGACTTCGGAAGGAAGAAGGGAGAGAGAGAAAGGAGACAGAGAAATGCCAAAGCAGGACTAATTGAGAAAAAGGAAACATTTAATTAGTGTTTTCTGTAAAACTTTACAAATGTACAGCATAGTGCAAAAAAAAAAAAAAACCCTCAGTCTCAGCACATCACTTTCAAGTCAATTAAACAGTGTAACAAGCCAAGGAACACCAGCTTGCTCATTCACAGGAGCGGTTCCAGAATACTGTTCCTGGGGGTTCTTCTCTTACCAGCAAGACCCAATCTCATGTTTATAGTACAGCAAAAAGCCTAAAGAAAATAAAAACAAACCACCATCGCAGAGTGGCTTCTGGCAGCAAGTGTACTCTAAGAGCTGACACTAAGAAATGCAGTTGAAGTTGGTGTCAAGCATCCTTTTTGACCAAGTTGCAAATCTGTGCTTGCGAGTAGCTCTCCTGAGACGGCTCATTTTTCAACCAAAACTAGGCAAGTCAGTAAGAAATTGAAGCTTGAGCTTATGGTAGGTTTAATAAAAATGAGGATAATTACTCAGAAGCTCCAGGTTATGCATGTGCTTAAATACCTTATTGGATTGATGCGTTCAATGTTAACGTCAAAGGTATCTGGCATATGAAGATACAGAGAAGGATGTAAATCCTGAGCAGGGATGACAGAGTCTTGTCAGGTGTTATGAGACACCAGACAATTTCCTATGAGAAAAGAAGGAAACAGAGTACAACTCAACAAATTTTAGCTCTGTACGCGTCTGGAAATGACATTCTGTCGTGGCAAATGGGCTGATCCTGAAGAACTTTCTAAGCACAAACTGTCAAAAAAAAAAAAAAAGAAACCTTGTCCATGATACACTCAAGCATCATCTAAACACCAGGTCAGCGGGGCTGCCAGAATTTTCCCTTAGTCCCAAACACAACAGCTGGACTCAACTGAGAAGTTTGCACGAGCCCACTTCTGCAGAGATTGTAGCGCGCAGGGCTGGCAGGAGCTCCCGGCACGACTGTATCTCTGGTTAGCTGGGAAAAACGTGCTCCACGGGGAGTGTTCCCAAGATAATACCTCTGTTCACGCACTCATAAAGGGATGGAGAAAGGGCTGCAACAGGAAAGTCCATTTCAAACATGCTCATCCTATTAAGGAGAATTTGAGCCCGCATTTACCTGGTTACATTTTGGGGTGGGTGCTGCGTGGCCATTCAAGACACTCAGAYATGTGGTCTGGTACCCTGAGTCGTGGCAGTGAGGGCAGGCAGAGCATTTCTGCACATGCTGTTGTTACAGGCCTGGCTCATTCCTCCCTGTCCAGGCTCCTGGAAAGCCCGAGTTAGGTCTGAACTTCCTGGGTCTCCCTTACTGCACTGGAGCAGCTGGCTCAGTGGCTTTCTTAAGGAAATGCAACTTAGAGGATACTGCAATGAATAATACGTGGTAAAATCCACAGTTCTCATTAAAACTACGGCATAAAAAAACAAAGCTCTGCTTTGTTGAGAAACTCACTCATCAGAAAGCACGTGGGAGAGGGAGAATAACTCAGCCTTTGCAGTCTGGTCTCAATGGACACGCACAAAGGCCAGAAGAGGAGTCAGCAGAACACTGTGGACTAACCCCCTTCTGCCTTTTGCCCGTGAAGAGCAGGTACCTGCAGCGTTYCTAACAACGAGCTCCAAATGACTGAACTGGTTTCCTCACTGGTCACCTGGAAAGAGGTCTTACCCCAAGGGAACTTCATTTTCTTGCTCTGCCTGGATGTCTAAGAGAGAGGCACGAGTACATCCCATCAAAAAAAGATAAGAGCATTTTTAGAGCACTGGGTTGGCGTATAGAGCCATTTTCCTTGAAGAAAAAAAAAGGATTCAGAAGGTCCCTGCATCTCTGTGCTGCTCCAACAAAAYCCTAGTTTGTTTTTGCAGATACTATCAGGATTGCTTTATTTTACTAGGTCCCTGATAGACTTCCATGCTACCCTTCACTCAAATTTTCAGAAGATTTTCTTAGCAGTTCAGAAATTTATAAAATAATGGCCCTCCCTCCCYGAAAGGCAACATTTCATTTCAAAAATATTGCTCTAGACAAACACTGAAATTCAGGGGTGGAGAAGGTAACGCCACAGCTCCTGACCACTCAAAAAGAAAGGGCACGACTCGGCCGTGGGTTTCTGAGTCCCTTTTGTTTCTTTACATTCAAACCCGTAGCTGCTCGGATGGATGAGAGGGCAATGCAAGCGTCTCGGGAGCTAAATCACTGGCTGCTCTCAGTTGAAGCACTCAGGTTTAAYGGGATATCCCCCTGGACCGCCGTGGAGGACAGGTAAGGAGCCATGTGTTCCGATGGAACGTAAAGCGATGAACTCTCAGGCAAGCTGATAAGGTCACTTCCAAAGACCGACTGACGATCAGCGAGGAACTGCTGGGTGCTTTCAAGAACGACATCCTTCCCTGGGAACACAGACAACACAGAGCTCAGTTTCTGGAAGGCTTTAGGAAYTCCAGGAAGTGGCAAATCCCCATGGAAATCAGCTGGAAATCAGCACAGAAAAAAAGTGCTTGGAAAAAAACTTGAGCAAAACTTGGACTCCTTTARGAGCCCATTGAAATCAGTGGACGTCGTTGCAGGTTTCCTAGCTGGGCTCTGCCTGAAGAACCGAGATGCCTCAAGGGAGGCAAGGGGGATGGACCAAAGAGCCAGAGGCTCTGAAAAGTGGGCTAAGAGCTCTTAGCTCTTAAACAGAGGCAGTTTAATTCTATTTAAACTTTTGAATATTCCCCACACTTTCCCYGTTACTCAAGAGCTACCCTAGCAGTTGTGGGGAGATATTGCTGACCATCGTGGAAGTGAAATATCACAGGTGGGGAGGGCTGTGTGGCCAGTGCTGGCCATTGCATCTAGCTCTGACWCCGTAATTACCTCCCCACTGGGGCGCGTGAGGACCTGCTGGCGCTCCTACCTGGGCAGGCGCTGCTCAAGGGCGGGTTGAACGCCTTCGGGGGCAGCTCAGCTGCACTCTTCTCCAGATCCACCGCGAGGCGCTGCATCTTGGTGCAAAAATATAAACTACAATGTACAATCATACAGAGACAGGGCAGCTTGTTAGAACTAGGCCATTTCTGGAGCTCGGAGCTTCAGCAGCGCTGCACAGCATCCAGCAGCAACGCAAACTGCCCTCCCTGGCCTCTCTCTCCTCCCAGCTCTGTTAAAACAACCCACAGCGTGTGCTCAAAGGCAGATAACACCCAGAGGAGAGGGCTGGTGGAGCCTCTTCCTAGCACTGCGTCATATGGGATGACACTCGTGTCTTATGGGGAGAGCAAACTAGCACCTCCGTGACTGTATCTGCCTGGCTGCTCCTCAGAGCAACCCCGCAGGCCTTGGCAGCCAGGAAGCCCAGCTTATTAGTTTGCCACATGCACCTCAAAAATGTCTGTGTCAATATATGTTCCAGATGAGCAGTGCCAAGCTGAATTTCTCCTGGTTTCCTCTATGCAGGCATGAATTAACCTCTATTCCAAATGGGTGTGCGTTGCCTGCCCTGAAATGTGCAGGAGTAGCTGCATTTTATACAGATTTATTTTTCAGGTCTTGGGCACAAAAGTGTTTTATGAATCCCTGACATGGTTAGGAAGTGACGCAGTTTGATTTCCAAAGAAGAACAGGAGAGTGACAGTCACATCAAGGCCAAAAGTCTGAGGGAGCCCCTTTCAGTTAAAGGACAATATATATCTCGAAGAGAGCCCTGCTTGAATGGGAAAAAATAGGTCACAAGCACAAAGCCTCGCTGCCAGCCTCGGGAGATGCTCGCTCTGCTCTCCCAGCCGCCTGCCCGGCTGCGAAACAGCCCGTCGTTCTGYAGCGACGCCTGCTTCGTACTTACGGCGTTATCCCAGAAACCCGCGGCTCTTACCGGGGACAAACTGGCTTCCATTTCGGTCAAATTCCACTCGCCCAAGGACAAATTGGGATTAAAGACCTGCGGGCACAGAAACGCAATGAGGGCTCTGAAAGGTGCAATGGCTCAAGACCCTCGTGCCCTCAGGTGCTGCCACAATGTATTAATTAAAGCTGGAGGTGACTGCTCGTTTGCATGGGCTTGGGTAGACCTAGAAGAGCAAAGGCCTTGGTGCCAGGCTGGTGCCTTCCATGGAGGGACTGGGCAGATGGAGCAATGCCCCAAACCAGTGCAGCAATTCAGCTCCATGCACACGTATCTTCCAGCCCTGCCTTTTCTGCTCTTGGGCCCTWGGGACACTTCCAGATGGGTATTTTTTTGCCAAAGCAGCATTCCAAAATACGGCAGCAAAGGGCAAATTGCAGTGTCACCCCTCAGTGCCAATCCCTTGGGAAGTCTGCACCGGCTGGGACACGGAGCTGCTGCTCCGGACTGCGATTTCACCATTCGCTCCCCCTCTTGCTCTGCACAGTTGCACAGAGAGGGGAAAGTGTGTCAGTAACAGGAAAGCACCTCCCAAGGAGGAGCGAAGCGGCAGAAACCACCGTACCAAGCGACAGCAGACCACGAGAAAAAGCATCTCCAAAGTCAAAACCAATCCTGCTTCGGTTCTAAGAGAATAAAAGTAACTTTCTATGATCTCCCACTCCTGTTTATCCATGCAAATTCCCCAGGTGCTTAAATCTCAAGCATCCAGGGAATACATGTTCTCTGACAGATGGATTCTTTCACTGCATGCAGAGCTATTTGCTTATAGGCAAAGATTTGCACGAAGAGAGGGAGAGATAAAAAGGGAGAGCGAGAMTCAAACCCTTATAGTTATGCATATGTATTTGAGGGAAGAAAAGCCACCACTCCTTTGCAGAGAGAAGTGCTCTTCCAGAATGCACACTCACGTCCAGGACGCCGGYGGGCTCCAGGCTGTACTGCTGGCTCCTCAGCAGCAGCTGCAGGCCTTCCAGGCCCAGGTCGGGGCCCTCCAGCGGGTCGGGAATATCTGCTCTGAGAGAAGACGACAGGAAACGTTGCCACAAGTGAGACACGGGCACGGATGCGCTCGGGGAGCAGGGCTGCCCGGGGCCTTGCGCGCTGCTGCGGCTGCATCGCGAGCAGGGAGAGGAGCCTCACAAACAYGGCCGGGTCTCTTGGGTTTTCACTCTTGGCCAGAGGGCAGCCAAGGTCTCTGTCACTGTCCAGTGACACCTTACTGCGCAGAAACTCCAGTGACAAATATTTCCTTGCACGTTTCTGCAACCCAAGCCCCACCGAACCAGGGATGAAGGGTACCCGAACTCTCGCAGACGCGCTTCGCTCCAGCAAGGAGCAGGGATGTGGCTCGTGGCTGCACATGCAGCCTTGCCCCGGGCACGTCCCTCTCACTGCGGAAAGTCTCTGTGCGCTCCCACGGCTGCAGCGAACAAGCTCAGACAGCTCTCGCTCTGCTGGGTTCCCCAAGCAAGACCCCCYAGCCCGGGCTTCAGGAGTCCCCTCGGCAGAAGCCAGAGGCACAGAGCACGTGTCCCCAGCCGTCCCGCTACAGGAGGGACACAGCGAGGCCCATCCCGCCCCACTCCGCTCACCTGTCCAGCAGCGCCCTCCGGCCTCTCCTCTCGGCYGGCGGCGGCACCAGGGCGCCCGTCSCGGCRGCGCCGCCGCTGCCCTTGCCCTCCAGCACGGACTGGATCATGGCGACGGGCAGCAGGGGCGGCTCGCGCTCCGCGGCCGCCTTGGCGCCGGGGCTCGCCGGCTCCTCCTTGATGAGCAGCAGGCTCTTCTCCCTGCTCACAGGCAGCGCTCAGCGCCCCGTGCAAGGGCAACAACCCAGCTCCACCTCCCACCAAGCCGCCCCACGGGGCCTTTGCATTGCCCATGTGGGCAAACACACTCTGCTCCCTTTACAATGAGCCTCGAGGTCCCAAAGGAGCTGGAGAACCCTCAAGAAATGAAGCTCTACTCAGCTTCCCATGGGCACACGCAAAGGAAGCGGGTGGGCTTAGATTAAAGCTGCCYCATGAGGGCTGGGCAGGTGCCAGGGACACATGGGGGGCCTGGTGCCCTTTCCCAGCTGCACCGCTAGATGGGCGGCTTGCTCCAGGAAGCCACCTCCGGCCTTAGAAAGTTTCCTGGGATGTTGCAACAAGGAGGGGGGATTTCAGCTTTCGGGATGCAAGTGGAGTCATTGACTGCACCTGGCTGCTACTGCCTGGGGAAGGTTCTGCAGTAAAGGGGCTTCCTGATACACACAGTGTCTGCAAAGGGGCAAATCCAAGCCACGCTCAACAGGAAAATGTAATATTGTCTTACAACACCCGAACAGCAGCTTTGCCAAAACACAGCACATGGGTACATCCCACAGAGGGGCTGTGTGGGACACGACGAAGCCTTCCTCAGTGTTCCTCTCAAATCATCTTGTGAATCCTAAGCGCCCACCAGAAGCTTGTGCTGATTAAACAACCATCACACTTCCATCTCTGCCTCAGGTTCTCAAGAGTCATGTCAATCCCGTGTAGACCAGAGGCCACCAGATGGCACTCAGTAATTAGCAGCAATAAGCAACTTAACTTGAAAGTTATATTAATTTTTGTCTACTTTAGAAATATCTTCCAGCCCAGTCTTTTACCCAAAGCTCTTTGCATGCCTCTAATTTCAATTATTACATTGATTTACAGGCGATCTTTAGACTCTAACTGCCTTGTCTCTATGTATGAGAAACTGTTTCCATGATTCATCTGCCTAGTTACTTTCCGCTGACATAGTGGTAGCTATGATTCAGCAACTAGCTCTGTAAACACTGCATATCTGTGCAGGAAGAGATAAGCACCAAAATACCTCTGCATTCAGTTCTTACGTTCCTGGGACCTTTTCACAGAAAAGCTGTTGAGCATCGGAAGTTGCTGTGATGCAGCCCTGCTGTTCTCTTTAGCACAGAGATATAGAGTTTGATTCTGTGTTTTTTTTGTTTTATTTTTTTTGTCAAAGCCAAGAGAAAACTTTCTTTTTTTCTTGCTTTCAAAACCCTCCTGATAAGTGTTGATACCCTATTCCTCGCTGAAGTCTCAAAGAGCCACTTTCTTGAAAGCAAAATATATAGAACGACAAAAAACTTCTTAAACAGGTGAGTGAAGCTCTCAGCATGAAACTGGTGACCTCTTATTGAAAGTTATACTGCTAATATCCCTAMCCAATTCTGAAAAATTGCCCCATACTGCAAACAGCGAAAAAAAAACTATAATCTCTATAGAGATTTGTGATTCAGAGATTTTGGTAGAACCAGAGCCAGGAAATACTCTGCTGAAGTTATTCATTGTGCATAGCTGATTCTCCCTGTTTTTAATCACAGACATATTTACCTGTCGTTCTCAGGAGGGGGTTGCATATTTATTAAGTTGGATGGTGCTGCTTCAGTAACATCAGAGATGATGGGTCCTCCAGCAATTGCAGGGCTGCTTAGGCATGAGGCAGGTTCTGTTGATGGCTAAGAAGAAAGCAAAAATCATAGATTTATCCTTCTGAAGCAGTTAAGGGCTTTAATAAATGTGTGGATTGTCCAAGTTGTCACTGACCCAAGGAGGGGAGAGACAGGGTGAAAGACCCACCTGCTCTGCAGGTGTCATGACAGTCTAAGTATTTTAAGTGTGAGATGTGAGTGTGGTGGCCCTGTCAGCAGACAGGGCAGTTCCACAGCACGACCCTTTCCCCTTCAGGAGGCACAAAGCCCTTGCAGAAGCAGTTGCGGTGCTGCGTGTGCAGGACCTGCCTTCCCCTCCCACATCCGGGGCCTCTCGCGCTGCCCCGGGCAGGCAGAGCACGAGCAGACGCAGCTCAGCTCTGCAAACCCTTCCTCTTCCTCCCGTGAAGCCTTTGCCAAAYGGCTTACTCCATAATCCATACTATTGCCTCCAACATCTTCTCTCACCCTGGCCGAGGAAAGCACAAGAAGCTGGGGGCTGGAGCAGACCTACCGACTGAATGAAATAGGGGTCATGGAGAGGGTCCGTGGGCAGATGCCGGCCGAACTTGGGCACTTGCGGAGTTGAGATCCCATTATCCAGCATCAGAGGGCTGTGAGGAGAAGCAGAGAGGTCTGTTTTCCCAGCCACACATTAGCTGACTGTTCCCAGGCTGCTCACAGAAGGAATGTCTCAGCCAAGGGTTGTTCCATCTGGATACTCTGATTTTCCTCTTACAGAGGAGAAAGGCTCTGCTTTTTTCTAGCTCTTACTTGAAACAGACAACTGAAATAAAATAAAATTGGACTTGCATTCCACATAGAAAGAAAAAGATGAGGAACCTGAACTCACAGCCAAAAGCAGCTCTCCAGGATACAAAAGCTTAGGATAGGAACCTCCAGAGCCCTCTGACTCGTCTTTGCACTGCTGCAATGTACAGGCTGTTAATGGATATCTGTAACATGCAGCTAAAAGTCTGCTACCTCCACAAAATTATTTATTTGTCCATTCTGGAGATTTGCTTGGTAACCCTACACACAAATATTCACACGCCAACATCATGTAAATCACATGGGAATCAAATTCCTGCTGCAGCCCCACTGGTATTCTACAAACATTGAAATGGAAAGACAGCATTTAGGTTTAAGCAGAGACGTTTTGTAATAGAAGCAGACCAAACTCAGGACAATGTGCTATTTCACGGGCTCTGATTTGTCACCATCTGCGTGACAAGCGCTGTACACTGTTCAGAACAATATTTCACGGTTGTAGCTCAGCTGCAACAGGGCCTCTAACTGTCCTTATCATACACAGTCTGCAAAAGACCTGACGGAACAGTCCTACAGACATCTCCTGAGGATGACACCCATGCGCCAGTTATTCCATTTTGGAGGTTTTAATGCCTCCCTGCCCATCCTTTTCCCATATCTTTCACCTTGGCCTGCTGCTCCCAGGCTACCCACTCACATGAGTGAGAAACGTGAGAGAGGAAATTAAATCCCATTTTCCCCTATTCTACAAACACTGGGCTGGATGTTTTCTACAAACACTTAACTGGTGCTGACACGAGGCCAAGATGATTCAAGCTCCTCTATCCTCTTGCCTTGGCACATTTATGATCCYGAAGATTCCCCTAGTTAAACCTCCCTCTGCCTCTGTGATATCTGCAGGTCGTCATCATCATCATCATCATACCTGTCCGCACACCCCACGCATAGACTGTAGGTCAAACCAGTGGTGGCCAAGGTCCATTTGGGCCTTCTCATCACGTTGCACGTGTTGACGCTGCCACCAGCGCCCACAGGGCCAGCACTAGGGCCCTTCCCTGGCCACTGGTTAGTGTCCCCGTCCCCTGGGCTCACTCTGTATTCCCCAAATAAAGGTCAGGAGCTGACACGGTGCTTCTCTAAAGGCCACTGAATGGGGCATGTCAGCAGGTCTGACTCGGCACTTCGTCCCATTCAGTTCCCATCACCATGGTGCCCTGGTCTGGTGACCGCCGGCCTGGGCAAGCTGAGCTTGTGCTTTTAGCGAGGGGCAGCGCTTTGCACCCRGGGCTGCGTGGGCACCACACAAGGGTACTTACAGCTTCCTCTTTATCCCGGTGCTGCCGGGGTTTGATTGGAGCTGGCCAAACAGAAACTGAATCAGCTGTCGAGAGAGATCAAAGTCAGTGTTAATCAGCAGGGTGATTCAGCACTCCCCGCTCACCCGGGCCCTCCACCTCACACGTTCCTCCCTTCTGAAACCAGCCCAAAGTGGGGAGCAGTCACAAAACGTGGGAGCCAGGCTGGGCAAGATGCTGGAGCCCAAAACACAACGGAGCATTGAAAAGACCCCTCTTCTTCTATACATGCAAAACCACCAGCTAACTCCACCTGACCTAGGAATATGCCTGCGAAGGGCACGAGCAAACACTCCTGTTTGGGCCCGCTCCGTCACGGCAGCGGCCTCCAGCTGGGGAGGCCTTTTGGGCACAGGGGGTTCTGTGTGCTAGGGGAGATGCCTCCACCTTGTACTTGCGCTAGGGGCTTGCCCAGTAATTCCTGCTGGCCCAGCAGCACCAGAAAACCCAACGGTTCCTGGAGGGGACTGAGCAGTCACTTSTGCTGCCCACAGCTTCGGTGGCAGCGCATGGGGACACTCTTCTCTCCCCCTGCAAGGCCAGGGTGAGGCCCAGCACTGCCATGCAGCTATTAAAACACACGTGCTTTTCTTCTTCAAGGTGTATGAGAGCCTGGGGAAGGGTGCGGGGCAAGAAAGAGGGTGTAGCGGAGGACCTATGGCAGGCAGTGCCCGGGAATCTGGGGTTGAAACCATCACTACCTTGTTGATCACCTTCTGCTGCTGCGCGTGGTTCTGACGGAGCGAAACAACCTCCCTCCAGAGCACTTCATTTTGCCTGGAAGTGAAACGACCCTCTCATGAGCACAGGAACGCCCCTCTGGCCCACAGTGCTGCCCTGGTGCACAGCGGACCTGCTTTTGCCAGGTCTCTGGCAGCATTTAGCACTTTCCTGATGGTCCCAGCTCCAGGGGACAGGCAATTGCTTAAAGGAGTTGCCCGTTTCCTTGACCATTCAGCCCYGGGACGTGGGATGGGGAGGTGCACAGGTTATTTGCCATGCTGCCTCCAAATACGGATTCAAGCCAAGTCCATGATGCAAAAGATTTTGCCAGGGAATTTACGTCTCAGGAACGTAAAGATGAACCGAAACTCAGAGGCCAAGATAACTTTCCCTATAGGTGCAACTTATGAACTCTTTCGTTACGTGTCCTTTAGGTTGTTTCTGTCTTTGCAATGTGGAGAGACACTAAAATGGGGAAGGTGAGGASCTCCAAGCAGTTAATCAGCTCCAATTAGGGAAGTATCTGCCTTAGCACAGCAGGAATCCTCGGAGTGAACTTTCTGCACTGCTCCAGGCAGGATTTCCAGGAAAGCAGCTTGCCTAAGTCACAGATTGCTCTGGCATTACGCCCTGATGTTACTTCACCAGTGCAAAGTTTTTAATGTGGTCTCAGCCTGGAATTCCTGCTCTCTGTTGGTTTTTAAGAGTCATATCCTTTCAAGCAGTTAAATGCAATTTTGACTTTTGACAGCTGATGGAGGGAGAGAGCAAACCAAAAGGGGAAGTGAAATAAAAGCCAGGACAAATCACTAATGCTGGAATTCCTTAAAAATTAAGGACAAGCCCGGAGAGAGACTCTTTCATGGGCACTGTACCTGGATATCAAGCTGTGATTTCACATCCATGAGAGGCATTTAAATTGAGGAAGGATAAAATTATCTAACACATGTAAGGTGCAGGGCTGCTATGAAGATTCACAACCCAGGATTCCAGTTTCATCCAAGGACGTGTGAATCTCAGCTTTCCCTACCAAAGTTGTTTCTGGATTATCTGGTTGAAAAAGACTTGGAAAAATCTAAAGAGCTCTCTAAGGATTAAAACCCTGGAGGCAAATAGAAAACACTCTAGTGTGTGATCTCTAAAACCATATTCATTCAGTTAATTCCTAGTGACCACGTCTGACTCAGTCTCAGATTCTCAGACAGCAACAAGCTGGGAACTTACAAGCACGAAGCTCTGCCTAAGCGCGTTGGGCTCCTACACTACAGCTCTGGCTATGTCAGAAGACAGGGTCATRGTCCAAACCAGTACAGCCACCGTTATGTTCTTAGATGTTTAGCCCACTCTTTTGGAGGACAGCACAGGCTGATTCCTGATTTTTGAGTGTGTGGAGCAGGCACCACCACGTCTCTGCTCCTCCCRGGGAAGAGGAAGAACTACGTCTCTCCTTCCCCAGTCTTTTCTATTTGGAGGAAATGAGGCTATGTGAGTAAAGTCCTCAGGCTACTCATGTATTTCCTGCATGACCGTTTCTGTGCTCCCCACATCTGTTAACAATAGASATGAGGAGCATTGATCTGCCTTTCATATGAGACTGACAGATTGAGTATTGATTCATATCTGTAGAGCACTGGGGACTGTTTGCGTTAAAATCCTGCAYGTTCTTGCCTCAATGGATCTAGTCTCCATGTCTGAGACGATACTTGGTCCTTTGGCTATGCTKGGCCTTTGGGCAGCAGTTTCAAGGCTCATCCTGCGTGCTGGCCCTTGCTCTGGTTGTGTCTGTGGGAGAACATATACTTTGTGCAAAGCCATGTTTCCAAATTTAGGGTATTTAAGCAGAGGAGTGTTGGCCGGGGACCACAGTGGCTCTCCCCAGGAGACCTGCAAGGCTTCTCCTGCCAAGCCATGCCCAAGCCAAGCCCAGCAGCTCCTCCAGGAGCAAACGCCTGCACGGAGCAGATGGAACCGAAGCGGGAGTCAACTCACTGCTTCATGTCCTGCACTTGACACTCCATGTTCTCCTGCTGACTTCTCAGTATCTGTACCTCGTATAGCAACCTGCTGAGGTCCTCCTGGCGCATCTTGGTCTCCTCACTTTTCACTACTGACACCTGAGGGGGAAGCAACAGGGGTGGCTTTTACCAAGGCAAGAAAGGCAGCGCTTGGACACAGGCATGCTGTGGTTTGGGCACGGGGCTTCCACCAGCTGGATGCTGGTGTGCCCCAATACCGGGATCTACTCGGAGCAGGCACCAGTTTCACACCAGTTTGGGTACAAGGGGGTTTAAGGAGCCTGTTGCCGTCGTGGCCCTGGGGACGGGACCTCCTCACCTTCCTTTTGATGTGCTCCAGGAGGTGCTCGTGGCCCTGCAGGAAGCAGAGGTGCTGGAACTCGGTGTCGTCCCGCTCGGGCTTCACCAGGCCGCCCTGCTCAATGTTCACCACCTTCCTGAAGCCGTCTGCGTGGAGAGGCCGCTGGTGAGGCCCTGTCCTCTCCTTGATCTAAACCAGCCCTAACTAAATCCCACTGCAGGGATGTAATTCCTGGGCACRGCGAGGAGGAGGCAGCTCTGCTGCATCTCCAGCTCTGCAAGGATGCCAACAGACTGACATTTACCACAGAGCTGCGAACGCGCTTAAATAGCAAAGGGAAAAGTTCCTCCTAAAAAGACTAAGCTCCTTGCAAATACGAGGTTCCTTGCAGAGGAACTTAGCCAACTGACCATTAAAAAAAATGGACTTTGTTTAAGAGAGATAAACTTAGGCAAATGATGAGAAAAGGACCTGTATTTGAGACCGTTGTGGTGCAGATGTGCTGGGATGTTGCTGGTGGCAGGATGGGCTGGTAAGGAGCAGAGGTGCCTCAGGGCACGCTGTGCTCCACAGCAGCCCTTTGCAAGGGGGGTTTAGAGCAATGGGCTGCTGCAAAAAAGCCCCTCGAGGCCCTCAGCTGGAAGCCCTGACAGGTCACCAACTTGCTGGGGGGAAAAAGAAAACCAGCAGCAGGATTTCCTACAGCACAACTTGCAATTGAATCTAAGGGAAACGTCACGGTGGGAGCYGCAGCCTCCCCTGGCACGGGGCGGCGAGCTGCTCCCTCGGCYAACGCGGCACCGCGCGGGAGCTCTCGGCTCCTCTCCTCCTTCCCAGCGCCCCTGCCCGCGCCTGCAGGGCCTGGGAGCTGAAGGGTGAACTTACACATGTTCAGCTGCCGCACAAAACTGGCCATGTTGTTGTGTTTGAAATACTTGGGCAGCACCTCCTTGGCGAACCGGCCTTGGTCGAACACATGGAAGCTGGTGCCATTCTGCAGAGGAGACAGGGGGAGGTCAGAGGGTGCCCGCGGCCGTGCCAGGGCCAGTGGGTCACACGGACACCGCACCRATCCAGAACCTTTGGACATCTCCTGATGTGAGCGGATGGAGCTGCGAGAGCCGCACAAATTGGCTGAGCAGAGCCTATGGATGTGAGCGGTCATGCCGCACAGCCCCGGCTCGGCAACGTGGTTCAAGAGCTGCTCCTGAGGTCGTGTTGCCAAGAACTGGTTGCAAATCAGTGCAGGCTCTTCTGGGGTCACCACCAATGACCACCAGGGTCATCATCAGGCAGCTAAGGGGGCAGGGACAGGGCCCGTGAGACGCCACGCGTCGAAGCTGCCTTCAATAACAGCTGCCTTACCAGCAACATCTGCAATATTGCAGAGAGGGAATCATTTACACACGTTAGAAAATGCTCTTCAGTTTGAAAGCCCTTATTTAAAACACACGATAAAAAATCTCAGTTGTTCGGAGACATGAGGCCACATACTGCTCACGTCAGAGAGCTACCGTGGACTCAAACCCCACCGTAGCGTAAATCCCACCTCAGGTTTTGAATGAAAAATATACTGGACATAAATCCACAACAGAAAGGCCAGGTTAAGTTTTTTTTCGCCTTTAAATATGCCTTTATTATAGAAACTTATTTTTAGAGAGCTGGTTTATGCACACAATRTTTCTGCTAACTCCCTGCTGAAGACAAATCACACTATTATTTGCAGCAATTTTTGAATCAGACCAAAAGCAGAAACAATGTGGTTTCAAAGTGCCCTCCCACGGAGACAGATAAGTCATTTTAATTCTCTGATTGCACTTGCTGTATTTCAAGCCTCAGGAAGCCAAAGCAAAACAATCCYGTGTTATCAAACCGTGCAGACATCACATCGCCGTGATCATCACAGGGACCAGCTCCAAAGTCTAGGAAAGCTCTCGGAAAACGAGCAATCTGAAACCTCTTCAAACTATGGGTTTCAGCCCATGGTTGCACGGCTGCTTGTGGCTCCCAGCTACTTCTGTGGCACGTGTGAAAGACGGCTAAGAAATACATGTGAAATATGTAAACACCCGTGAAATTCCTAAGGGGCTTTGCCCCTCTTGTGGAAAAGTTTAGGGAACCACAAATTGACACCAGGTGAAAATTCCCTTTTTAAGAGGATGCATTTTTAGGAAGTTCAGTTTTAGGCACCTTTTTAGTATTACTATCATCAAAGCACTCTCAAAACAGTAGTTCCTTTGCAACAGCAAAGTCACAATTTTCCAAACAAATACCATCAAATACCAAAAACTCATCCACAGAATCATCAGTCGTTTCCTTCTCCCGGTTATCTCACTAGCACTCGCACAGCAAAGGGAAATCACGGGGCTAAAGCACTGACACCTTTTGTACCTGGCTTTCTGCAGGGAGCTCCACGCGACAGCCAGTATTCGCTCTACTTACAGTGCTCCAGCAGATGAGATGGTTCGTTTCAGGATCCTCCACCAGCGTCCAGAGCTTGGTCAGGAAGGCTGGCACATTGCTGGAGTACCCATCCATCACCAGAGAACCGGGGGAATCCTGCATAGCTTTTTCCCCAGCGCTCCGGCTACGCTACCTCCATGGCCCCCGGCCACTGACTGTGCCGCAGGGCCGGTGCGGAGCAGCCTGCCCGGGCGTCGCATCAGCAGCACCCTCCAAACCTCAGCACAAAGCGGCGGCATCACCAGCCCCGCGGAACAATGCCCGGGATGAAAGGGCCCCGCGGGCGCCGCCGTGAATAGAGCTGCAGCGTCATGCAAAGGCGGCACGTGCTGCACCCCTGCCCGCGTTGGACCCGCCTGCCGCGGCCCCGCGGGACACCCGGCGGCTCCAGGCGCTCGGCCCAGGTGCCGGAGGGGCTTCTTGGGGCCCTGGCACGTCAGGACGGCACCGTGGGTCGCGTACGGACCCCGTGCACTCCATGCATGGTTTGGTACGGACCCATGAATGGTCTGGCTCTTCGGTGGGAAGACAGGGGGATGACAGCAGGAACGCCCAAAATGCAGATGTCAACAGTCTATTATTATCACTCAAAATGCTCCAGACACCCCTTTGTTTTCCTAGGAAGCACCAACAATGTTCTGAACGTAAAGGTCTATGCAAAAGGGGTTGGACTAGATGACCTCAATGGGGTTGGACTAGATGACCTCTGAGGTCCCTTCCAACCTAAAGCATTCTATGATTCTATGATTCTATGAAAAGGCATTCAAATTGGGGTGGGAAGACAGGGAGATGGCAATAGCTACACACAGAATCCAGATGTCAATAGCTTATTATTATTATTATTATATGCTTTATATATCTCTCCTTTCCCTAAGAAGGGCTGACAACACACTGAAAGTGAAGGTCTGTGCAAAAGGCATTCAAATTGCAACCTGGGCACTTGCTTTCCAGAGTAATAGAAAGAACGGAGGGACAAGGGAATAAGCAGCTCCCTTGTCATTTTGTTTTTCCTCTTCATGAAACCATTTTTCTCCTGCCTGAATTTTATATCATATTTCAGGTCTTGTTTAGCTCCTTTCACACTGGAAATTTCGTGGCACCCAGATAATACGCGAGCTCACAGGGCACAAGTGCCAAAAGAGGAATTGCCAAAGGAAAAGTGGATTTTCCACCAGACAACCACAGTTCTTTGCTCAACTAAGCTCAGCTTACGTGGCCAAGTACCACACRCTGGCTGCAGCCCTGAAGCTGCCCCTTCCTTAACTGCCCATGCCAATAGCTGCTGGGATCATGACACAGCGTGCTCAGCGTTGGGGTTCTCCTACAGTGCAAAATCACCATTAAATTCTGCTGAGGTGCTCAGTAAAAACGCACGGCCAGTAAACCTGGCATTCCTGGCACCGCTAACAAAGAAGCAGAGGAGACAAAAAAGGCCTGCCCTCTGTATCATGCAAATACAAGAAGAAAAAGGCAGTTTCTCCATATAAAGCTTTATCTGCCACATTCACGTACAAACGCCTGGTCTCCTGAACAAGCGGTCATCGTGTTTAACAAAGATGGCAAGATGAGGGAGCAGAGGAGGGGATTTGGCAGCACCTCCCTTGCAGCTCGAGGTCTCCCGTCGCGTTGCTGCCGGGAGGGACCCGTCACCGCGCTCGCACGGCCCGCCAGGGGTGCCGCTCCTTGGAGACCTTCAGCGTGTAGCTCCTCAGCGCGGGGCACAGGCTCAGGAAGGCGGCCACCACCTCCGGGCTGACCACGCAGTAGCAGTGGATCTCCAGGAGGTCTCTGCACGCGCCAGCCAGCTCCAGCAGCGAGGCGTTTAGCTCCTCCGAGGATGTGGTTTGGAGGGTCAGCTTCTTTAAGGTGCTGCTGTAGCTCTGGGTGACAAACCTAACCTGGCTCACCATGTAAGTACAGGTGTTAAGCTGCAGGGTGCTCACAGGTATATTTGGCTTGAGGATCTGGGGGATTTTCAAGGCAGGGACCGTATGATCAAGCTCTAGGTCTACGCAGAGCTGAGGATGCTTTTGAGTTAGTGCAGCCCAGAGCTCTTCTGAGATAACCGGGATATATTTGTCCAGGCGCTCACAGAAAATGTCCAGCTTGGTCAAAGGAGCTCTCTCAGGCTTGATGAGTTCCAGGAAAACATCTTCAGACAAGCTGGCATAGTAAACCCCCAGGGTCGAGAGCTTAGGACATGCTCTGAGAACTTTCCTGATGGTCTCTGGCACCACGTTGCACACCAGGGTGCGGTTGTTGATGAACAAACTGCTCAAGTTGGGGTTGGCGGTGGCCAAGAGCTCCACAAGTTCATCGTCAAGAGTAAAGGGCATTTCTCGAAAATCCACGTGCCGAAGATCTGTCTGGTTCTTGGTGCTGCACATGTTGCGTATGCTCTGCAGGATGTCTTGGCCGGAGTAGAAGTAGGGGTTCTCCCCATGGCACACAACGCACAGCTGCTGCAGACGGTGGCTCTGTTTGGCCAACACATCTAAGATGCGCTTGACGTTCTTGCGGTTGACCTCCTTGGACTGGTCAAACACGATCTTCAGGTGCCTGATTTGGCTGAGGAACTGCAGGAGGCTCTGCAGCATGTCCTCCTCATCCTCCGAATCACAGCTGCAAGGGCAACACGGGCCGTCAGTCCCTCTGGGAGGGGAGCAAGCATGGAGCAAGATGCTCCTCTACTAGTGTTTCTGAGAGCAGCCAGCACCCTCAGAGGTTTCTTCTAATTTCAAGCAACGGCAAGTCAGTATAAAATAGTGGTTAAAGGCTGGGGAAGGGGACAGGAGGCGAGACAAGTCAGAAAAACCCATCAAAGGGACCTACTGAAAATGCTGGACCTCTGTCTTAGGGCTTCTTTCTCCTCCCACCCTCACTGCCTCTTCTATTTCAGCAGGCAGTTTTTGACCATAAGGCTTGTCCTTTGCTACAAGCCCTGGTGGGAACAACCACAGCCAAAGACAGAATCCTTATGATTGGGAAAGACCTTCAAGATCATCAAGGGATAAGATTATCAAGTGATAAGGTGTGTAACGCTCTGCATAAGAAGTAGGTGTCATGACGAAGATGACTGTTTCGTAACTCCTTATTTCTTGCTGCTTTTAAGTTGCACCTTACAGCAACTTACTTAAGAAAGTCATACTTTCCATGAAAACCAAATTAGGAGTATCATTAAAAAGCCCACAGTATATAACATAATTTTTCCCTGTTATGCAAGCCACGTACCAGCATGAACATCACCACCAGTGTCAATAATGTCACAACAGATTGGGGTGGATGTTTGACGTGCAGCAAAAATGGAACGATCCAGTTTTGTCTGCAGAAAAGTTTAGACGTTAAAAAAACCCCTCCTCTTACCTGATCTCTGTGAAATGCCAGACAGAGCTGGAGGAAACTGCTGCGGCCCATTGTCTGCACACCTGGAAGACTGAGTATCTGTCTCGAAGAGGAAGATAATAGAAAATCTGCACGAGGATTTCTTCTGGGATGTAGTTCCACACCTCTGGAGTGGAGGTAGGCATTTTGCCAATTCAATCAAGTGTTAAAACGTTGAGAGTAACTTCCAGGACTGTCATTAATTCTCATGCATCTCTGTTCTGGGAGGACGGGGCGGGGGAAAAATAAGGGAAAAAAAAAGGGACAGGCATTAGGATTTATTTACCAGATCAAGCCAGTGTCACTGACTCACAGAGGAGGTCTTAAAAACTGAAATTTCATCAAATTTTGAAATTCAAAATTACATTTATGCATGTTGAACATGGAAACTGAAGAACATATTTTGTTTATCCTTTGATGCGAGTTATAATGCGATGGAAAAAGCACATGGGAAGAAGTCCTGAGGTTTGCAGCCTTGTAGTATCCTGCAATGTCTTTGTTAATCTTCTTTCAACTAAGATGGGCTGTGTCCACATTGTAGAGTTCTGCACAAATAAAAATACTAACATTATATATGTATTTTCAATCTTTCCATAAGCAAATAGAGAGGTTTAAAATGACAGACCTTTAAAGCCTGCAAATATTTATCTTCTTAGACTAAAGTCAAGACTTCCTAGATTAGAACCAAGAACCAAGTCTCACAGTCCCACCACGAGTATTGCAGAAAGCCCTTTGGTTCCTGAAGCCCCAGTCCTGCGGTCACATCATTATCTCAGCATCTCACCTTTAATTTAAACTATAACAAAAATTGCACTTCCAGATACCCTCGGAGTCAGGGAAAATCTGCAAAATGCCAAATAAATACGAATGAGAAATGCAAAAGGCAAAGCCCAGGGAGCAGCCCAGCTGCACACGTTCCCCAAACCCGCCGTTCTGCGGCGTGACTCTGGTTTGCACGGGAGGCGGCTGCAGCAGAGCAGCTCCCCGTCTATCTGCTGCCATCTCTGCTGACAACCCCCTTCCACCCACTGCTTAGCTAGACCTGCCAAGCAACATCATTCTGCTTCCTTCCTGGGAACTTCCTTTTCTTATTTGCTTTTTTGGGGCATTTTCTCTGACAATCCCCTTGAGAGCCTGGACTCTCCTAATTTTAACCACTTTCAGGACAGCCTCTAATACATATCTGCCAAAATAAACCCCAACCCAAATCTCCCAGGTCCAACTCTTGTTGTTTTCACTACGGGCTTTTTCCTTGGAGACCTGTGCGGAGAAGCTCGGATCTCTTTGCACATACGAAATGTATCCCTAGTGCTGGAAAAGCTTAAATCAGGTGGCAGGAGGGGTGGCGGGAGGCGCTATTTTAGGTCGCTGCCCGGTGCGGAGCGGCGAGGAGCGCGGATCACGGCCGGCCCCGCGGCTCCCGAGGCCGCCCGGCCTCACGTGGGGCTCTCCCCGCGTCACTGACCTCATGGCTGCGCCGAGCTGTGTCAGCTCTCGGCGCGCGGGGCCCGAGCAAGCAAAGGCGCCCGCGGCCAAAGCGCTGCCAGGAGGTGCCGTTGGATCCCGCCGTGCCAGGGACGTGTCCCGAGGGGCTCCGTGCGCGGCCCGCTGCGCTCCCGGGCTCCGGCTGCACCCGGAGGGAGGAGCCCGGGAGATGGTGAAAATAACCCGGCAAGAGGGAGGCTCCCTCCCCGCGCGCGGCCTTTCCGGGAGCGCACGGAGCCGAGTCCCGTTCCTGCCCTGGGCCAGCGCCGCCTGCCAGGCCTGGCCCACGCACRCATCCCAAATCCCCAATTCCCCCATTTCCCTGCGCCGGGGCTGCTGCCGGGACACTCGGAGCTCACCCGGCTTCTCCTGCCGCCTCTCGGGCCCACACTCACCCAGGGACATCTCTGGCAGGGAGAGCTCGGGATTTCCGGGCTCCCCAGCCAGCACTTAGCCCTGCTGCCCTGGAGGTACCGAGCTTTAAGCTGAGCTTTAACCCGCCCCTAAGGCCCAGCTGCCCCACGATGCTGCTTCCATAAACGGGAGCACGGGGACAGCCAGCCTGGTTTAACCCCTCCAGCGACCGCTTTCGCTTGCCGTTTCCCTTCCGTAAATACTCCTGGTGCTCCCACATTGCTACGGCAAAACAGCGGCAGCCGAGCAGCGCCGGAGCCGCGGCTGTGGGGAAGACATCAACCCCGGAGCAAGAGGGAGCAGAGGCGCCCGGGAAGCAGCGAGCGGCGCGGGGCCCCGCGGCCCTCTCCGTGCTGGGAGCCGCGCRCAGGCGGAAGCGGCGGCGGCGCCGAGGGGCCCCGAGCAGGTAGGGGCCGCGCGGGGCGTCGCATTGCAGCGCGGGGGGTGGCAGTGGGTCCGGGGATCCCCTGTCTCATCCCGGGGATCCCCTGTCCCGCCCCGGCTCGAGGGCAACGCGGCGCCCGAGGCGGCGGGGACGGGCGCCCAGCACTGCGGCTCACACGGTGGCTTAAATACCCTCCGAGCGGCGTCGGGAGCCGAGCAGGAGCAGGGCACCCTGGGGGCTCCGGAGGGCACCCAGCTCCGGCCGGGCTTCGTTCCTCACCCCGCACGGCAGCGAGGAGAGGGTCCGGCCCCGGAGCCGCCGGGGTCCCGCTGCTGCCCACACGCCGGTGTCCGTGCTGGAAGGGACAGGAATGGGGCTGCGCTTCGAGCCTGCTCCRTGGCCTCTGGGGTTTGCTTCACCCTCCCGCTGCGACATGCCTGGAGGAGGCACTGCAAGGAAAAGCGCTGGGATTTGGGGCGCCCAGGGCCACAGCTGGACATGGCAAGAGCAGTGCGTCCTCCTCTGTCCTCCCTCTGGGATCCCTCCSGAAAGGCGCCCGGGAAGCCCACGCTGCTGCACCCCCAGCACTCCAAGGGCTCCCTGCGGCATCAGCCTTATGATTCACTGGTAATTTCCTGTGTTTCCCAAAGCAGGAAAAGGCTCCAAGTGCGAGGCAAGGAGCTTACGGTAAGAAACCTGCCTCTGCCCCGAGGAGCTTCATTTATTGAGCAAGGTGGAGCGCACGTCCCAGAGTCCTTTTGCATCAGGTTGCGGAGGAGCAAAAGGCTCCTGGAGGACGTTGTGTCCATCGGGAGGCATCCTGGCAGCTCGGGAAGCGGGGGACACCTTCGCCCGTGCGGGCTGGAGGGAGCCAGCGGCTCGGAGGGCGCCCAGGCAGGAAGGAAGGGGCTTTGCTGTGAAAGGCCCACAGTGGGAGAGGAATAACTGCACTCGTGTGCAATGTATTCACAGGCAGCCCTGGTTTGAGAATCAAATGCCACCAGTGAGGAGTTGGAGCCCCAGGTGGAAACCTCATGGCCTGTCCGGTGAACTGTGCAAAGGGTTTGGCTGCCAAACGGATCCTATGGCCTCAGGACTGGGAAAGTGCCTGGAAAACGCAGCCCTGCTGAGCACTGTGCCACTTGGGAGGCTGGGTCTGGCTGTGCCATCTTGTCTGGTTTGCAAGGAGCAGATTGAGAGATGGTGGCTGACACCGATGGAGAGAAATTATGAAATTTCCTGCCCGCACGAGGCTTGCAAGGCCCTGCTGTGTTGGGGCTGCATGTGACAGCGGCTCTGCACAGAGTTTCGTGCTGGTTCCTGCTTGGGATCTTTCTGGTTTGCATCATTTCCCAGGCCCTACTCTGGCTTTAAAGATTTCAGAGGCTCTGAACCTTGCTGACATGGATCAGCTTTGCTGGGAAGGCAGGTTTTGGCATGCTGGAGCATGTGCATGCTTACCAGCAGTTCAGTAGATTTACTGATAAGGTGATATTTATACTGATAATACTGAGACTTTCTAACTGTATAAAGCAGCAGCCCTGAATGGCAATTTCAGCATGGACCAGCAGGAGGGAGATGAGGAAGGAATCAATCTCTGCTCAGCTGTGTCCTCTGGCAAAGAGAGCTCAGGCTTGTTTAAGCTGGCCCTGCTTTCCAAAACAGACAGCACTTTCCAAACCTCCAAGCCCCAGGACACTGTTAGACCCTTTCAGTGGATGCTGCAGAGGATCCACTCTCTCCAGAGGAGTCTAGAGAGATCAGATCCACCTTTTTGCTCCAAACTCTAATTCTCCCATGGAAATCACCTTTCTGCATTTGCTTTCTACAGTCCCTGGTGCCAGGGTATATCCTGGCTGCATCCTCATTGTGCTGGGGAGGAGTTCAGCTGTGCACTCAGCAATTCACCTCTCCCAGGCACGTGGGCCATGGGCACTGCACTGTGTCCTATAGCAAGGACAGTCAGGAGACCAAAAGGCAGAAGGCTCCTGAGCTTGCAACAGGATGCAGTTGGTGTGRACATGCCAGCACCAGCACTGCTGGCTGCTCCCTGGAGCCCCTCCAACACCTACCTTCAGTCTTCGCCAGCTCAGCTGTGCAGTCAGGGGCACGAGGGCCAATGCTCTTTGCTTCGGAGTCTCTTTGGGCTAGGAACAAATGGACTCCGATGGAAAAGGAATGCAGAGCTGTGCGGGCTGCCAACTCTTTGGGACACTGTGTCCCACTGTACTGCGCTTTGCAGAGTAACAGCGAAACCCTTAAAGGCTACACTTGCTTTAACAACATTCCCACCTCCTCTAGGTCAGACTAAACCCCTGCAGAGCCACCAGGCGCAGGCTCAGGGCCTGCCGTGCTTGCCTGGTTCATTCTCGGCGTGGTCTGACTCACCTCTGTGCTTTTGCAGGGTGCTGAGGATGGCAGGCAGCCCCGCTCCTTGGATCGGCAGCGCTTACCTCTTCCTCCAGTCGACCTGCAGGACTGTCGCCCTGCCTGCCCTTTACGAAAGCTCCCAGCAGAAACCCAGCATCTTCAAGGCTCTCAAGCTGGCACTGGCAGGTACCCATCCTCTCTGATGCTTTGGGCAGCTTCACAAAGACAGGTTGTCCCTAGGAGACAGAACAACCCTGATTTCACGTGTCCCCCTCCATCCAAATATCCATTTGCATCCGAATATCCACAGCTTGAACGGATCCCTGGCATTCCAGCTGTGATTTGGGCTTGGGCACATACCTCGGTGCCAGCCCTTCACTGCTCTTTCTGCTCTCYCTTGCAGCTGCAGCAGGGTCACAGCTTGCACATGAGCTAAGGAGCAGGCACACGAAGGGAGCACTGCTGCAACCCTCAGTYCTGTGCAGCTTTGTGCCCATTTTCCTGGGCAGGGAGTTACTAAATCCATATGTTTGGGCCAAAACTGTGTGTTTCTCTCTGCTCTTTAYGGCTCCAGACAGTTCCAAGAGGGGCTGAGAGCAGCCTGCAAATATCTCTGGGGAGATCAGCAGGACAGAGCGAGGCTCTTCAAGGGGGTGCATGGTGGGAGGGTGAGAGATCTCAGGTATAAATTGAAGCAAAAACTGGTCACAACAGATATAAAGAAATCTTCTTCTCCGTGAGGGACAGCCAAGCAGCTTTCCAGAGGAGCTGTGCAGTCTCCAGTCTTGGAGGTTTTCAAGACTGGCCTGGATAAAGCCTGGTCTGCCCCTGCCATGCATGGGAGGTTGGGCGAGATGCTTTCTGAGGGTCACACGATAATTCCGTTGTATGGAAATATCCTATTTTGTGAACGATTGTTTAATCCCATTTATGTGAGGTGGAAAGCATTGTAACTGGTAGGAAAAATACTTAGTTTCTATCTTAATGCCATCACAGAAACATAATTTCTTCTTGGAGAAGCCTGTTTTTACAGTGAGTGATAGGAAATYGACTGGAAGCAACTTTCCAAAAATAAATAGGTACAATCACATTAGCTTCGGTTCCACTTAA